GGTACCTTCTAGAATCGTAACAAATAAGTCATTTGTCAAAGAAATGATGAAAACAGATTAGAAGAACTCTACCATCTGCCAAAGAAATTAAACGGCAGGTATCCACAATGTATCAAACACCAAAAAAACTACCAGTTTGGAAATAAGAAGAAAACAAGCTTTGAAATCTTAAAACCATCGTTTCAACTCAGGCTCTTTTGACCCTAGGTATGGTCATAAGAAAGTTGCTCAATCACTCCAGGTGTCCCTCTCATCCAAATAAAATGAGAAGTGTGTGTGTGTGTGTGTGTGTGTGTGTGTGTGTGTGTAAATGTATGTGTATTTATTTATTTAATCCATTACATAGTATATGTTCAATGGAGCCTGCAAGATATTACTGTGACTAACCAATGCATCAATTAAATTAAATATGCAATGCCAACATATGCTTGTTTAAACTATACTTTCAAACTTTAGTTTGGATTTATTAGAGTTAAGGTTGGGGTAGGATTAGGGTAGAGGCAAGGATCAGAGCTCAGTTCAGGGTCAGGGTTAAGGTTAGGGTTATGTTTTGAGTTAAAATAAGGTTAGGGTTAGGATGAGAGAGTTCAGGTTAAGGTTGAGGTTAACACTGAGTTTGTGATTAGTGTTAGTATTAGGGTTTGAGTTAGCACTAAGGTTAGCATGTGGTTTTAAATTAGGGGTAGGTTTAGGTTTAGTGTAAGGGCTAGGGCTAGGGTTAAGTTTATGTTTTAGGGTTAGTGATAGAATTTCATTTTGAGTTAGGTTTTGTGTGAAGGTTAGGGTTAGAGTTGTGGTTAGGGTTGAGTTTATAATTAGGGTTAAGGTTAGAATAAGAGTTAGAGTTTATTGTTTGGATTTAAATTAGTGTTAGGTTTAGGTTAAGGGTTAGGTTTAGGGATGCTTAAGGGTTAGGATTAGGGTTGAGTTTATGATTAGGTTCAGGGTTAGTGTTAGAGCAGTTAACTTAAAGGTTAGGGTTTGTTTTAAAATTAGATTAGGTCTAGGGTTAGCATTTGATTAAGAGCTAAATTAAAGTTACATTTAGAGTTAGTTTTAGGGTGAGGATTAAGTTTTTACTAAAGTTGGTGTTAAGGTTTGAGTTAGAATTATGGTTAGGATTAGAGTTAGCATTGAGTTTAGGGGTTTGTGTTTAAATTAAGTTTAGGATTAATGTTAGAGTTAGGATAAGAGCTAAGGTAAGGTTTAGGTTTAGGTTAGGGTTAGGTTTTGAGTTATGTTTAGGTTTAAGGTTAGATTTAAAGTTAGGGTTATGGTGCGGAAAAACTAGTTAATGTGTAGTGTGACTATAATAAAGGAAAAACTCACAAAGAAACCGATAGATGTATAATGTTTACATTTTGACTTACTAAAAAATCCTTAAATAGGTTTGAAAATACGATAAGCTATGATGTAACAGCATTTTGATGTTTCCTAAGGACTGACAGCAAAGTGCTACATCTCCTCAAGCTTGTAATTTACCGCCTGTTCGGGTCTCTGCTTGTGCCAAACTCAATATACAGTATAAAGTCCCCCCCAGAAACAACAGGGCACAGCTTCCTGCTCCACTCGTTGGTTGAATGGGGCCAACTGAAGAAAGGGAAACTGGGTTTTACTTAATCATCTGAATAACTGTTTTCTTCAATTTCTTAAATTAGAAGCTATTGGTGGGGGGGAGGAAATTAAAAGAAATTCCCCATGTAAATTATCAGGCCATTGGGGAAAATTCCACTTGAAGTTTCTACATTTGGCTCAAAAAAAAAAAGATTATTCTTATTAATGAACTGCTCAGAAAGTCAACTTTTCCAAGAGCCCAAATTTCTGAGGCCTCAGAGTACTGTAAAATCTCTCTGCCTGAGAGGCACCAATTGTATTGTAGTATAAATGGTGGAGTGCTTCCTTCCAGCAGACACCACCCAAAACTCTTTTGAGGAGTGTTGTAATAGAGAACATGGAGAAATGGGATGAGAGATGGAAAAAGACGTGCCACGGAATCCACGGAAGGTTTCTGGGATTATTTATGGTGAACGATATGATCATATGTTTATCCACGGACACTGGGTAATGTAAGTGATAGAGGAGATGACGTGCAGGAAAGGGACAATTCATCCATTGTGATAGAAGGGAATGAAATGAACTACTTATGAAGACACATGTAGAAGTTTGGGAGGTACTATAAAGAAAAGATGTAGTAGTTCTCTTCTGATTGCATCACTTTTGAGTGAAATAAGAAGGTAAAGGTGAGGAGAGAGGGGAAAGACTTGAGGAGAGAGGAGGTGTGAAATAGTCATCCCAGAAGTAAATATGTAGGATAGCTGGGTAAAGCTGGGAGAAATTTGAGAGAGGCAGTCATAAATTTTGAGTTAGGTTGTATTTATGTTTTCTTCTACCCATATCTATTGCTTGAGTGCAGGCATAGAATACTTTCCAGACATTTACATTCCATGCATTCAAGGTCTATGATCTTTCAGATATGGTTCAGCAAGAATAGAGGAGAGTGGACTGGGCCTCTTAACTAATTCCTAAGACCACCAGAGTCTTCCATCGTAGACCTTCATATCAAAACTCAGAAAACTCAAACTAGATACAAACAATAATTATTATATAAAATTAATTATAATTATCCTCGTATTCACCCATAAAAATATTTTCCAAATATATTTCTAAAATTGTAAACAGATCAGGTTCTACAAGTATATCTAGGACCTATCTTGGTATGCTAGCCTCATTCGAGCTACATTTGTATTTGTTCCTTAGTCATAGTGCTGAACTTTACCAAGAGAAAACAAATTAATTCTGGGCTCCTGAGGAAAGACCCTAGCAGATCTCCTCTTCTTACTAATAATAAAGCTGCAATCAACTAGATCAAATAAGCACATTATCCATTTTATATCACTGGGACAATTCAAGCCGAAGACGTACATTTGTGTCTTCAAAAAACAAAAGCGCGCACATGCGCACACGTGCACACACACACAGACACTTATATCTTTTAACTACAATTACAAAAGCCAAAGATTGTAAATTTCTTTTCACATCACAATGAAGTAATTTAGAAAACAACCAAAATGCCAGAGCTCTGGTGCAAACACCAGGGTGGATAACTGAAGTCTTTACAAAACTTTTAAAAAATACATTCTATTTTTTAAAATAAGTGAAAGATAAACTGTAAACCTTATACTTGAACACATACATGAACCCCTCGCTATGTAACGTGAGTAGGAATTACACTGTAAAACCTTCCAACTCATAAATGCTTTCTCCATACACATCAAAAAGTGAAGCCGAATGCATATAAGCCAAACCAATGGACATGGACAACAGGGGGATGAGAGCATGAGTGGGGGAGGGGGGGGAATGGGAGTTTAATGGGGGGATGAGGACATATTTGTAATACCTTAACTAATTAAGAATTTTTTAAAAAAAGAAAAAAAAGTGAAGCCGAGACAGACATTATTTGAGATGAATTCCCAAGGGTTCTAGCATTGTCCTCTGTTAAAAATGCCCTTGACAGGGATTTCCATTATTAACGATGAGCATAAATTAATTAGCTGATGAGACCCCTTAGCTAGGAGCCAGTTTGGTGGAGCAGGGGTGGGGTGGAGTAGAAGGAGGAAACTGGAATCACACACTCTCCTATCAAAGGTAGCAGGGTCTGAAAGAAAACTCCACAAGGAGGCAGGAGGTCAGAGTTGGAGTCCATCTAACCAATCTAAGTACAAGATGTCTTACCTGAAAAATGAGAAGGCTGAATTTGACCATCTCTAACTAGTCCAAAAGACCACTTTTGTGACAGGAGGTAGGTTTGGCTAAAAGGGTAGGAGCAAATGCAAAAGGCTAAGGAGACGGGAAGCAAAATGTAACCCATGGTGGTCACAAAACCACATTGGGAGAAAAGAGGGAAGGAACTAAAGAAAACATCTCCACACTGTAACTCTGCCAAGAGATTAACTAAATGTGTTCAAAAGAGAGATTGCGGTTCTACAGGAAAATCATAGTGATGTCTCAGGCATAAAGACCATAAACAGAAATAGAGAGAGAATTGTGGAATCATATTGGGTCACCACTTTCTTCAGATCTGTATTAAAAAACTGAAATGAAACTAGTTTTGCCCGAGGAAATACTGTTCTTAAAACTAAAAGGATGATTAGCAGTGTTGATGGGTTTCCCGACAAATGGAAAATGCTGACTTTTATGAGTTCTGTTAAGAACACTAGCACTAAAATGACTATAGCAAAGTTCACTCCCTTATTCAACAGAAATTTTATAATATCTAGTATGTGCTTCTACTAGGTATAAAAAAGGACACCATGAAAAAGACACCTCTACTCTTAAACTTACAACATAATGCAGAAGATATGACAAATACATTAGCAAATACAATGAGATATAATACAACTGGGCTAAGCAAAGGTTAGGGGTTTGGAAGAAGAGTTGGAGTTTTTTGTTTTTATTTTTGAAAGATCACGGCTCCTTCCCACTTCATTCACACTAGCCAAAGTCAAGAATTTCTAAGGACAAGTTTAGACACTTAATAAAGAACAGCAGTTCCTGAACCATCTGCTTTGCTCAAAAATGAAGATCTGTCACAGGCAAATTTTCATTTTACTCCAACCCTGTGAGAATATTATTGTCAACCGAGGTAGGTAACATTTGGTTTATAAGTGACATAGTGAACAAACCACACTTTCTCAAATGGCTACAATTAGTGCCTCTTTGGGGTGAAAAAAGAAAAAAATAAAGCAAACCATCTTGAGTCCAATAGTTACTTACTTTCAGCAAGTTTCTTTGATCCATTTAAGTGTCCTGTTACTAATCTTCTGATGAGGAAATGTGCAAAACACAGCATTTTCAGTGAACAACAGAACCTTGTTATAGTTAGACAAAGATATATGACAGAATATTCTGAATGTTTTTTTAAGGAAATCATTTCACAAACTCATACCATACAAAATTGCAGGTTATAGTAGCCCAACGCTATATTCTTGTTGTATTCTTACCTGGTAGGGAACAATACTGCCATGAGCTGTGCCCCAACGTTTCGCTTCCTTTTGGCCAATAAGGTAATTAGCAGCTACCTGGGTTAAACATGCCACCTATCAGAAGAAAAAGAAAAAAAAAAGCCAGTGTATCTATACTCACTCATTGACAAAAGGTTATAATATGAAAGTTCTGATTTGATTTCACTTAATGTCATTGCAGAAGATAAGAGAGAAAAAAAGAAACTCCCAACAGGTTAGAAAATATGCAGGCATCACCTTTCATCACACAAAGCAAGGAAGAGCAGTGTTATGTTAGTGCATGAGTAATGGTCACTTGAGAAGTATAAATACAGAAACACTTAGCTCCTGAAAAGATCACCTGAAGGCAGAAGTTGCCCCAGCAGGTGGAACCTGGTCAAGCTTTTAGCATCAAAGCCTGAGCAAAATAAATCAGCAATCATACGTTCCCTTCCCCGCTCCTCCGGCCCTTTTACTTTCCATCAAGATGACACAAAATGAGGCTGTGTCATCACTGAGCAGGTGAACCAAAGTCAGGAGGCACATCCCTCTAAACTTGTCATTACAGATATAGATAAACAAACTAACTAACTAGCCTCTATTTTGTTTTTAAGTCCGTTTAGTCAAGTTTTCTGTTCCTTGCTGCCTAAAGCATTTTTACTAACACAGAGAATCAGGATTATTTATTGATTTTTATTCAGCATGAATCACCCTCATTTAAACAAAAAGTACTGTAACTTTCCCAACTTGCTTCTGGCCTCATTATTATACTTATTTCCATGTTCAAGAAGCATAGTTCTATTAAAGGGGTTATCTAAAACTGACTCGTGCAACATTTCATATGCAGATCTTGAAAACCCACAATAATCCAACTCCATATAAGGATAGCATGAAGATAATAACTTGCTCCCTGGAGATCTGTCCCAAGAAACTATGTTCCAGTGAGACGCCATGCCTTTGAGGGCCCAGAACTATGGAAAGGAGGTGACCTAATAACTTTTCAGTTTCCAGAAAAAAAGGCATCTTGACTTCTAACATCATCAAGACAGAGCATGGGCTTGCTTTTCCCATTATAAATCATCAGATGTGACTAGCAATCTATCTAGCCAGCAAGTCAAATATATTCCACATTGAGGCTGACTCCTGCGACAACTCAACGGGTGACTTTTCAAGGCTCGGTGCCACAACCTGTGACTGCCTCTGCCTGGTGCCTCCTACCAGGGCCATCAATAGGGCTCGGCCTGAATGAATCCCCTTGCAGCGGCAGCCATTCTCCTTTAGCGTATTCTTGGGATTTACACTGACTTTTATGTTCATTTACTGCTCTGTTGAAATTGGAACTGCCTTATGGCAGCTGGTTCGGCTGTACTGCCCAGGTGGCAAAACTAATAAACTTTGAGTCATCCACTTCTGGACCTCCATCTGGTCTTGGGCATTTGAACCATGGAGCATTCCAGGGCTGCCTGGGGCTGCCTAATGTTAATCACCATTTCACAGATCACTTCTGTGTATTTCAAAATGGAAAACCAAATCAACATTTTGTAGTAAAAATGCACTGGATGGGAAGTCCGGGTTCATGGTTTCTCATTTCAGTCTACCTCTAAATAGTTGTACCACTGTAGGTATATAATTTAACTACTTTGATTTTTCAGGTACATTCTCTGTATATTTGGCATTTGACCCAAACCAATTTTCAATTTTTTAAGCTTTTTATAAAAGAGCAGAACTCCTATATCGAACCACATAATACAGGAAATCCTAATATATAGGGTGTCTCAAAAAAATGAATACACACTTTGAATAATTATGAAGGCACTGTTTATTACAATACATTTCATTTTCAAAATTGAACATTAGCTGTTAAAGTGGGTATACATTTTTGGGGACACCCTCTATATGCACATAATACCCCACGTGCTCTGACTGACGCAGAGGCAGACCTGCAATGCCACCCTGCGCAACATGAACACAGAACACAATTTGCAAAATAGTAAATAGTCTTAACTTTGCTTCCAAGTTCTCTACACTTCTGACCCTATTCTTCTTCTTAAAAGTCTGGCAGGTAAAAGATAGCAGGGATGCAATAGTAATTTTCCTGTAAAATTGAGGAAATTTTCTCCAGTCTAAGGTTTTTCTATTTTCTTACCTATAAGAAAGGATCTTCGTTAATCTAGCTATGTTGTTGTTGTTGTTTGGGGCGGGGGGGGGGGGGGATGGATCAGGGGGAGGTTGTTTCTTTCAAATACATTAGGTTCAAACATCCTCTAAGGTGCTCTGCTGCTACTGGAGGCAAAGAATCTATAATAATAAAAGCGTAATATGCTAATTAGACCAGATGTCCTTCCGGATGACCTTCTGGACTAAGCCGAGGCTGCAAGGAAAGCCCCGGTCCCAGGTGCCAGAGGGAAACCGATGGTGGCAGCTGGGGGAAGGAAGACCTACTCTTGCACAAATTTCGTGCATCAGGCCTCTAGTTCACATTAATAAAAGTAATTCTTTGCAAACAATTAATCACAACAGGCTTAGTATTCCCACTTCTCTAATCTCAAGGTCAACTGATAATTAATACATCCACATCAGCAAGGGCTGCACGAGATAGTGGGCTGACTGGATGATCACAGGTTAGTCTTAAATCCTAGACTGACCTGAGACAACTGCGAGGGGTTCGCATGGGGTGGACCGTACCTGGCTGTCTTGCCCACTACCTCATTCTTTCTTCTCAATTTTGGCTTCTGTGTTTCTGTCCCCACCTTGATAGCTGTCTTTGACAACTATTTAATAAAAGCAGCCCCATTTGGAGTCAGTTTGAATAAAGAGTCAGAACTCATCTCACAGACTGTTTCTAAATGGAATACTATATCCATTTTCTCCACACAGTGCTGACTCATGAAAACAGCAAACATTTCAGAACTAGCGTGCTCCCACTGGGCAAACAGATTAAATAAGATTTGAAGCCAGATGTCATCCAAAAAGAAAGTATGATTTATCAGTAAATACTCAGAGGCAAAGTTGGAGGGAAATGAATTATACTTTGAAAAAAGAGAGCACTGGGCTAAACTTAGTAACCCAATGTTTAAAAGGGGTATTACGGATCTGAAAGTAATCTACTATTTAGAAGGATTTTTTTAAGGCAGGAGAAAGGGGAGAAAGTCAACAGTTATGATGTGATTATTTATAATAAAAAAAAAAAAAACAGAGGCTTCCTGGCAATTAATGACAAATTTTGCAAAACTCAAATGAACATAGGATGTGACTTTTTGGTTAATAAGTACATACTGTATATCCATTCTAAATATTGCATTATATCATTATTTTCATCGTCTAAACTTAGGCTCATTATTTCATCATGTGGATGCTATATAATTTACTCAGAATGTTGCCTTTATGTGGTTTCATCTAAACAACAAAAAAAAAGCCATCTTTGATTTAATAATAATCATTCTGACAGCAAAACTATTATTTTAGATAACATAGTGGATCCTAATATTCTTTGTTTCTGACCAGAAAACCAATGGGGTGGTCAAAGTGGATCTCAAAGGGCAGAGTCCCTAAAGGATTGAGTAAGAAGACACACAATTATTTCCCAAAGCAGCTTCAAGATATCAGTCACCACATGTTTCACTCCTACCAAATGAGGATCAAGCTGCAATAATAGAATCTTTCATCTCCAAAAGGACAACCAAGTATGACAGGCAAATTGGGGAAAACAAGACTAGAACTATGGTCCACTGCATCAAAATGGGTAATTTCACCATCTGCAAAACCCACTCTCTTGCATATATTTTGGCCTCTAACTAAACTGTGGACTAAACCCCAGTCACGCTTCATTTCTGCATTTGCCCATATCTCTATCCAGTCTTCAAAGTCCATTTCAATGTGATCTTATCCATTAAGTTCTCCCATCACTGAAGCACAAAAATATTTTCCCTGCCTCTGAACAAATACGGTATGAGACCTTAATTTGCCTGACTCCTGCTACACTTTCACAGTCAACCTTGTACTACAATTCGAATTATAACATGGAAAAGCTAGAAAGACCTAGATCAGTGATGGAGAACCTTTTGAGCCCGGCGTGTCAGCATTTTGAAAAACCCTAACTTAACTCTGGTGCCGTGTCACATATAGAAATTTTTTGATATTTGCAACCATCGTAAAACAAAGACTTATATTTTTGATATTTATTTTATATATTTAAATGCCATTTAACAAAGAAAAATCAACCAAAAAAATGAGTTCACTTGTCACCTCTGACACGCGTGTCATAGGTTCGCCATCACTGACCTAGATCAATAGTATCTAAACCTAGTTGTGCCGTACAATCACATGGGGATTTCTCCAAATCTGCTGAATCAGACTCTTCAAGGATGGAGCCTGGGGAAAATAATTTAACCAATGGACTATTAACTGTAAACAACCCTGAGGAAAGTCTAGTCAAATTCCTTAATATTACAGATTAGAGGGCCAGTGCATGAATTCGTGCATGGGTGGCATCTGGCCAGCCCACCCCGATCGGGGCAGTCAGGCCATGCCGGCTGGGGCAACGGATGGGAGAAGTTAGCCAGCTGGCCCCGCCGCCTGGTCGAACTCCCAGTGGAACTCCCAGACTAGGGGACAATTTGCATATTAGCCTTTTATTATATAGGATAGCTAAATAAAGAAATAGTGCCTTTCTCCATGTTACAATTTTATTTAGCATCTTATCCTATCACTCCTTTTATACTGGGAACTATTTCAGGGTAAAAATTATGTACTATAAAACCTTTGTACCTTCTCACAGCACCTAACATGGAGCTTGCACACTAATTTTTTAACACATGAATGACTAATTACTGTTGTCTTACTTATTCAACAAATACTAAGTGCTGCTTTGTGTAAGGCATTATGCTAGGTACTGGGTATACATAAGTAAATGCAAAAGACATTATCCTGCCCCCCTAGGACTTATTAAAACTGATATGGGGAAAGGAGCTGGAAGAGAACTTTAAAAACAAAGAGAATAACATGTGTGAAAGCCCTAATGCTGGAAAGTGATTAGCATGAGGGCTGGGGCAGGCGGGGGGGAGAACCTAACAGTAGACCACTGTAACTGAAGCGTT